TTCTGTTCAACGAGTTMAGCATTTTCTTTTGGACAACATGATGGTAACACTTATAATGTGGTGTTAGTTTTCAATCTGTCATTTGTACAGCATCGAATCTAAAATAAAATTCATACAATAAACCAMACGTATAATTACATTCAATATTTTGTTTGATATTTTTTTTTAGTATGTTATACATTTTTGTGTTTTAGTTACCTGACCACCCTTCTTCCAGTATGCATTTCTAGCTTTTGCAAGTCAAATTATTTTAATGTCATCTTCAGTTTCAGGCTTAATCGTTTTAACAAATTCTTCAAATGTTGAATGAACTGGGCACCATCATTCAACACATTATACATATAAGCATATTTACATTTTTATTTATTGAGTTATAATTTAATAGTTTAATTTTACATGTTCTTGAACTTTTGGCTTAGTAGCAGTTGATGATCGGCCAAGTTTTAAATTTTCAAACTTAGCACAAACTTGATCCTCGATTTGATTCATTTTATTAATGAGTATTATTGAATTTTTAATTACTGGTTCGATATTTGTGTCTTTCAAAGAGTCCTAGATACAACATACATAAAATTACATTTGACTATAAATATTGGATTTATTGCCAAAACCAAAGAATATAAAGACCATATTATTACTCCACTGATATTTGTATAATCATTTATTTAAAACTGCTTCTATTTGGATTTAAAATGTGATAATTACTAGATTTAAATATTGAAAATTACATGTAACATGTTAAAATCATAGTGATACTAATTTGTGTCATGCTATTCATATAAACATATAAATACACTTATGTATAATATACATACATATAAATCTGATAGTGTTTTTTATACAAATAATTTGTCTGCTTAAAAAAAATTAAAACATTTAAAAAAAGTAATAATTTATTTTTTAGTTAAGAATGTTTACACTCCATGTTTATACTTGTAGGCATAGGAAGTTACTTAGTTATTTGAAAATTAACTATATTATAATTTAAATAAATAAATGAAATGTTTATTATTTAATTTTATGTATTTGTATTCACATACATATTGAATAATATTATGTATATTTGTAATAATACTTATTACTACCTGTTATTTTTCAAAAATGATTTTCTTTTCTAATATATTAATTTGATTGCGTAACTCTAAATTTTCTTTTTTAAGTTCTTTCTAATTGAAAAAAAAAAACAAAATAAAAAGTATTTGTCGTAAATAAAAGTAATCATATTTGATATTTTAAATTCACAGATAATTACTTATTTTGAAATACTAACTTTTTCCAATTCTAACTTGCTGACCTCTTCAATGTATGCCTCATTTTCATTTAAAAATATTGTTGATTTGGAAATAAGTTCATAATTTTTCTAAAAAAAATGTTTTAAGAATACAAGTGTATTTAAGTGTTTATTGTTATTTTTTTTTTWWTTKKTTTTTTTTTTGTATTTATGTCTTAATATTGTCAGGTTAGGTACATATACTATTTTTTGTAAAGAAAACTGAAAACTCAATCTTAATTCACGAGTAATAAAAAATATTTTTTGATTAAAAACGTTAAATTAATTTAAATCCTAAATTATTCGTTTACATCTAACTGTAATACAACTAATACGAGTACTGTGTAGTCTGTATAATAGATTACTTACTTGCTTTAATTCCTCWTTTTCGATAACAATTGACTTGGCGGCTTCTGCTACCATTTTATAATAATCCAATTCGGATCCAGTAAAAGTCGGGTTATTTGAAACATATGCCGCAAACATTTTGAAAAAAAAAAACTTTCAAGACTAACAAAATATTAGAGAAAATATAAATAAATTTTAATAAAATTGAATGAAATCTGTTTGAGTTTATAAAACGCAATGGTTAAGAAATACGGATTGTAAATGTACAGATTATCTCCAAACGGGTACATGTATGTAGCCATGTAGGTACTAGGTACTAGATAGGATATTATTCGATAAGATCAAACATTGTTATCGATGTCATATTTCTTTACTATAAATAAACGGTATTTCAAACAATTAGTAACAGCAAAATAAAATATTGATTAAAATATTTTTTATTTTATACGTTTTGATCCATTGCAATTTTAAATTTTCATATGACTAGGAAAACTATTATTAGTTTATTAATTGATGTCAATTTTAAAAGTCTAGTAGAAAATGTATTAAAGATTAGCGTTTTTYTTTTAAGGAAAATATAATTTGCAGTACTTAATATGGRTTTAAGTATTTTTTTTTAAACAGAGATCCGAAACTTTATTTTGGCTKGGTTCACGGAGTACCCCAGGTCAACCCTTGCACTCCTGCATAAATATTTAGTATTTGGGGTTAAACATCGACAAACAAATTAAAATTATGACTAATTTTATTCTGATATACGGGTTCGCGGAAGAGATGCGAACCGTATGATAGCAATAAATGACAACACCATTTATTTTGCTACCTGTCGSTGCGCGTTGTGTGGTTAGGCATTTAAAATGCAATTTCTAAAAATGTTGAATAGCTCTCAAGCATAGAGTCTTGCATTGATTAGTGTTATTCATTCACTAAAATTCATTAAAAAATCCCCCCTCATAATGATTGCAAAAAAAGTATAGGGTTCCATTTSAATTTCTAAAGTTGACCCCTAAAATGTTGTTAACAATTATAAAGTGTGAAATCATAATAGATGTTTTTAAATAAAAATACTTTTGTATCATATATTTTGAATATTTATATGATAAAATGGCTGTAACATAAATTTTGAATCACCCTGTACATATATATGTATATATATAATATATAATATTATATATCATAGGGTAAGCTAATAATATAATAAACATAGCAATGGTATATTATTTATTATATTATATTTTTAATATTATATATTTATTATATTAGGTACCTATGTTATATTTATTATTGCTGTACTTATTAAAGATCAAAACATACGTATATTTTATTGTAGAGGATGGGCATTATAATGGTMAAAATCTTCTTTGTTTGGTTGAATACGTACTTCAATAAACTTTTTTATGTTGCATTTTTTTTTTGGCCATGCACGTGTACCTTTGTGATACCATGTATCGTAGGTATTGTAGGTACAACATCCACACTATTGTCCACATCAAAACAGACAATAGTCCACATAATTCTAAAAAAATTATATTTCTTATTAAACTATTAAAATATTAATTTTAATTTATTGGTATAGGTGCAAATGTTTGTTAAATTTAAGCTACTTTTGTTTTACTAATCTTTCATTATTGTATCTGTATATTAAATATTATATTTTATATAAAGCTAAATAATATAGGTTCAAAGTTTAGTTAAACTATCCATAAATATTATTCATAATGCTAATAACAATAAAAGTATAAAACATAAATTAATACACAATACACAGCGGCCATCTGTTTACATCATACTCACTATATTAATTAAGAATGAATAATTGGTATAGCCATAACGAAACCTTCAAAATGAAAAATCATCATTTTCATTTTAATATTAGAAAAATCCCATTTATATAAATTTTGAGATAGATTATTTACGTTATAAATATTTAGCTTTGATGATTTTAAAGGGCTAACAAACATTTCTTCCTGGTTTAAATACATTTTCCCAATAAAGATTTTATTATTCGAAGTCGTTGGTGATACAATGACAGTTATTTTTACTATTTCACCACTTTGAGTTGAAAAATAACAATTTGGTTCTTTGGTAGTAAATTAATTTTTTTCGATATCATTATTATGTTCTATATTTCCACTTTTACATTTTTCTTCATAACGTCGAACAACTTGTTGTAAAGGTTTTTCATGTTTACGGAGCGTATTTTTTAAATCCTTTATATAATTTTCAAAAGGGAACGCACTACAACAATCSAGTGGCCCAAATCTATTATAATCATCAGGTAAATGAATTAGGCTATGAAAATTGTATGACATAAACTGATTTAACAAAATAAACAAGAAGTTTACGAGCATAATCAACATATTGTTTATAGTTCGGGCTTAAAAGTATTCTCATTGCAACACTTAAGGCCATACAATTTTCATAACAGTCACTAGATAAGGTGTTTTTTAAAACTACTGGTCCTGTGTACAACAAAAACTGACGGAATTCAGTTGCCTTCCAACGAGCTACATCTTCTATTGCCCTTGATTTCCGTGAAAAATCATAAGTCACAACAGTTTTAAGAGCCAAAAGAGAATTTGTATTTTTTCTAATTTTCCAACTAGGCAACCGAACAGTCTTGAACTACCTTGATGGTATTTTTATTACATCCTTTTGCATGATTGACACTAAAGRCTTATGATCAGTTAGTGCATTTATTGTGAGACCAAAAATATAGTAATGAAATTTCCTACATGCAAATATTAAGCTAAGAAATTCTTTCTCGATTTGTGCATACGATATTTAAGTTTCTGGCATGCTGCGTGAAGCAAAAGCTATAGGTTTTTTGTCCTGGAGAAGACAGCATCCCAGACCGTCCTTTGACGCATCACATTGAATGGTTATTTCTTTATCTGGATTAAAGATTAGTATTGGTGATGTTAYAAGTTCCTTTAATTCTTTTACAAGACGTTGGGGTATAATTGTATTTCATGTATATAGGATCTTGATTGTTGATATGTAAAATATATAAAACAGCGCGTTACAATATTATAATAATTAGTGTTAACAGGTGCACGATATTTAGCAAACGTTTGGGTGGGCGTTGTTAGCATTGCAACTTAGTTCTAAACGTTTTAAAATATTTAATGCACAGTGGATGTAAAACCAAATATATTCATCACTCCGCTTTGAATTTAAAATACAATGATTACATATTGTTATTGAGTCTGATGATTTGTCATAATATATAGTAATTTTATTTCAGGACTATCAGGCTAGGCTATTGTGCGTAGTGGATATATTAGATCGTCATTTGTGCTATGTCACACACAAAACCCAAATTCAAACATTTTCGTCGTTTTCGCAAAACGAACTCAAATACTTGGACACGCATAAGAGAATGCACCTTGAAGCGTGTGCTCAGTCTTCTCGTTTCTCCATTGAGCCGTGCGCAGTGTTCGTGGAGGATGGTGATGATGGTGCGAAGGCAGTGGCCTCAAATGACCTAAAGAGTGGTACTGTAATATCGGAACTATGTGGTAGGCTGGTGACGTTTAGGGAATCATTCCTTAAGCTTGGGAAAAATGATTTTTCCGTTGTCCACAGCACCTACAGGAAGAAATCGCAGTTATGGTTAGGGCCCGCTGCCTACGCAAATCATGACTGCGAAAGTAATTGTGATATATACTTTTTGAGAAGCGGTATGGCGTGCCTCCTTCGCACCAACAGGGAAATTCATGTCGGCGAGGAGATCACCACTTATTATGGGGAAAATTTTTACTATTTTGGGGAAAACAATGTGCAATGCCTTTGCTGCACTTGCAAGGACAAAGGTGAAGGTGCTTTTGCAAACACCGAACCAATAGAAGCGGAATCATGTCTCATGCAATGCGCTCATTGTCCAGCAAGGTTCAGGTTCAAATCGTGGTTGCTACGTCACTTGTTAAGATCCTTAGACATGGCCCAGTTTTCATGTGGGGATTGTGGTGTATGCTTCTTCAGGAAATCTGCACTGAAGAGGCATAGCCTGCAAGTGCATGGTACCGTGCGTAGTAAAGTGCAGTGCGCACTTTGCCACAAAAAAATCGTTAGAAAGGAAGATGCCCTTCGACACCAAGACAGAATACACCACAAGACGTTGCTTCACAAGTGTCCGGACTGTGAAAAAACATACAAGATATGTTGTATCACCACAATAAGAGACACTCAGATATCAAACCCTTTGCATGTGTAAATTGTGATGCGACGTTTCACACGTCGAACGCTCTATATAGGCACAAGAAAGATCGGCATTAAATTGTGAATGAAGTGGTATATAATAGTATATATTTATTAATTAGTAATGTTTTATAAATAACATTTATTTGTTAATTTAGAATAGGTTAGGTTATAATTTAATCTGCGAGCATTGAATTTATATTTTATTTTTTTGTGGCTGTTATTTTTAAAATGTAATTTATAATTATTTTTTTTTTTTAGATCTCACAGGTTCTTGAAGGAGTGGTGTATAGCTGATGTATAGTGAATTAGGCTTAATGGGAATACCATCACTTAACAAAAAAACGACTGCGTAAGTTTGTGCGACGGTCAGATTAGGTGCAATCTAACTTAACCTAGTGGATTAGGCCTCTTGGGGATACCACTTAAAAGGAAGTMGCTGAATTGAAATTAGAACGTCAGTCACGCAGCGATAAAGCCTTTCAACCAAGATCACAATCCCGTTCAAAATCTCGTTCAAGATACCGCCAGTGGGAACAACCGAGAGATGATTTATGTTTTTACCATACMAACTTTAAAATGAAAGCTAAAAAGTGTGTAGAACCCTGCAAACACTACACCACTTTTAAGCCGGAAAACTAGTCATCATATCTTCTATGGCAGTGGAAGATATRCCTTCATCAGACTGCCAWAATATTAATGCAAGTCATCGTCTAACAGTACAGGATAAGATATCAGGTCAACAGTTCCTCATAGACACTGGATCAGATGTTTCTATCATACCTTGTACAAAGAGACATGATAGCATTGCCGACTTAAAGTTATTTGCAGCTAATAACACTCCAATCAACACATACGGAAAAACAACACTTACTGTGGACTTAAAGTATAAAAACTTATTTAATAGAACAAAAGTTTTCTGATATAATTGGAAAATTTCCAGAAGTTCTTATTTCACAACCGTATAACTCTGGTTGTAATCATCAAAGACAACACTACATCGAAACAAAAGGACCTCCAGTTTTTGAAAAACCCAGACGTTTATCACCAGAAAAGCTAGCTATAGCAAAGGAGGAGTTCGAGTCAATGGTGGCGTTGGGCATATGTAGACCATCAAAAAGCCCTTGGGCATCTCCACTTCAATTAGTCAAAAAAAAAGGACTAGATCAGTGGAGGCCCTGTGGTGACTACAGACGATTGAACGGWATTACTATCRAASACMGTTATCCAATAGCGCACATTCAAGATTTTAGCCATATGTTAGCAGGTAAAACTATTTTTTCGACTTTAGACCTGAAAAGAGCCTATCATCATATACCAATACACCCTCAACATATTCCTAAGACAGCAATAACAACTCCTTTCGGATTATTTGAGTTTGTTAGGATGAGTTTTGGACTCAAAAATGCAGCTCAATCTTTCCAGAGGTTCATTAACGAAGTGTTCACAGGACTAAACTTTTGTTTTGTATATATTGATGACATACTTATTGCATCAGTCAACGAAGAAGAACATAAAAAAACACCTTTATCTTGTATTCCAACGCCTACATAAATATGGTTTGACTATYAACTTACAAAAGAGTATTTTCGGTGAGAAGACTGTAAAGTTTTTGGGATACAATATATCCGAAGAAGGAACATTACCAGATAAGGAAAGAATAACAGCTATTCAAGAATGCAAACCACCCAATACAGTTAAAGAACTGCGCCGATTCTTGGGTATGATAAATTTTTATAGAAGGTGGATTCCTGGAGCAGCTAAAAATCAAGGAATACTAAACAACTATTTGAAACAATCGACAAAGAATGACAGAAGACCAATTCAATGGACAACAGAGGCAGAGAAGGCATTTGAAACATGCAAGAAAGAACTTGCTGATGCTACCTTACTCACTCATCCTCGTATGAATACCATACTTGCATTGACTACAGATGCATCAGATAATGCGTTAGGAGCAGTGCTAGAACAAAAAGAAGTTAACAACAGCTGGGCACCATTAGCTTATTTTTCTAAACAATTATCAAAAGCTCAAAAGAATTACAGTACTTATGACAGAGAACTGTTGGCCATTTATACAGCAGTTAAACATTTCAAATATATGCTCGAAGGTCAAATATTCATCATATACACAGATCATAAACCTATTGTAACAGCTTTTGAACAAAAATCATCCAAAGCTTCACCCAGGCAGCTAAGACATCTTGATTTTATTAGCCAATTTACAACAAACATTGAATACATAGCAGGTAAAAAAAATATTACTGCAGATTTTCTATCCAGAATTGAAGCTATAGATTTTCCAACCACAATAGACTATGATTCATTACAAACACATCAGGAAAACGATTCAGAGCTCCAGCACTTGTTAACAGCAAACACAGGTCTAGTATTAAAAAAATTAAAATTTGGTACAAATGATACATACATTTATTGTGACACATCCACCAAAAATATTCGTCCGTACATACCAATTAACTTCAGAAAAGCAGTGTTTGCAACTGTCCACAACATAGCACACCCAGGCCAACGACAAACAAGCAAACTAATAGCATCAAGATACGTGTGGCCATCTATGCGAAAAGACTGTACAAGATGGGCAAAATGTTGTATCCAATGTCAAAAAGCAAAAGTTCACCGTCATACTCYAAGTCCTTTCCAGAAATTTGATATACCAGCAGTTAGGTTTCGTCAGGTACATATTGACCTGATAGGACCACTACCACTAGTAAAAGGAAATAGGTATTGTTTAACTTGTATAGATAGATATACTAGTTGGCCTGAAGTGATTCCGTTACCAGATATGTTGACAGAAAGGCTGGTACCGAATTCCGTCCCGGGCCCCCTATGGTTCCATAACTGAAGACCGAATTCCGTCCCGGGGGCGGAGCAACTATGTCCGAATTCCGTCCCGGGGGTGRATAAACWATGTCCGAATTYYGTCCCGACTAGTTTTAGACGGTATTAATATAAGTTCAATTGTTATAGAACTTCAAGAGGCTTCGCCTGACATTAAGCGTAGGTATCGTTTTTTTGTACTATCGCAATTATTTGCAATAAAAATTTATATTTATATTTATACTTCATAACCAAACATATTTCAATTCACAGAAGCTGTAAAAGCTGTGCAAACTGAAATTTATATAAAAATGYGGAGTACATTGCCAAAATCAAAAATAACATTGGAGAGAGAACAGTTTTTAAATGATAAAATGATGCTTTGGAAAAGTCGAAACATAGATCGACACCAGTTTGTGTGTCAGGTGTCGTCTAAGTTTTTACCAGCATATTTCAAATCTAAAAAATAATAATTTAAAAAAAAATTACACATAACATATATTATACTTATACACTTAAATTTATTAAAATACTTATATGACTGTCATATTTATACATAAATGGCATATACTGTAAATGGAGTTTTTTTTTGCTCCGTATATTAATAATAAATAAGGCTGTTTTTGCCGGATTTTAAATTTTTAAACATGCCAGCAAAGCTGCCAGTCCTAAGCCTGGAGAAAATGTGAAGGAAAATGTTACTGCCACCTATATCATAGTTACAGGTAGTAGGGCGGAATTCGGACTTAGTTTATCCACCCCCGGGACGGAATTCGGACATAGTTGCTCCGCCCCCGGGACGGAATTCGGTCATTTTCAGCAACCCGGGACGGAATTCGGCAATTGCCGACAGAAACAGTAGCAGAAGCTTTCTTCAACACATGGATATCTAGATTTGGAATACCTGAGAAAATCACCACAGACCAGGGAAGACAATTTGAAAGCAATTTGTTCACAACATTTACCAACTTACTTGGCATAAAACGATCTCGCACAACGCCTTATCATCCTCAGGCGAATGGGAAGATTGAACGCTTCCACAGGACACTTAAACAAACAATTATGGCTTGTGAGAAATCAGATTGGGTAAGCACATTACCAATCATATTATTAGGTTTAAGATGTGCATTAAAGAAAGATGCTGACATAACGCCAGCAGAAATGGTATACGGACAAACATTACGTTTACCTGGTGATTTTTTTTAAGAGAATAACACTTCTGATATACTACCCGAAACACTAGTTAATCAGCTAAAAGTAAAATTCAATGAATTGACACCTACATCAACAATTCACAACTCTAGCAGGAAACCATTTATAGCACCGGAATTCAAAACTGCAAACCATGTATTTGTACGACATGACGCTGTAAGAAAACCACTACAGATGCCATATGATGGACCGTTCAAAGTCAATAGCAGGACAGAAAAATATTTTAACATCGACATAAACGGTAATTCAAAAAACATATCCATAGACAGACTGAAACCTGCGTTCCTACCTCAAGAAGACTCAATCCAACATGACCACTCATACGAAGTGAAGGCGAAAATGAGGAAGTCAGTGAGCTTCAAAACATGTTCCTTGAATACTAATATTAATGTAAATTGTATTTAATTTTATTTTCATTATTTTATTTGTACAACAAATACTCRACTCTTAAGACCGAGTAACTTAGATTTTAGAATTTGTTATCATTATCATATTTGTTTATTGTCATTTGTTATCAAGTATTCGACTCCGTCACTCGGAGGGGAGTAGTGTGGGAGCAGTGGTAACACTGCCTACTAGCGTTCCGTTTTCCATTCCTTCGCCATGACACACACACACACACTTTTTCTTTTACTCTCGTTTTTGTTCATTGTAGTGGTGGTAAACTGCTAATAATATTTTTAACAACTGCTATTGCTATTGCTATTGAAAAATAGCAATGAAAAATAGCTGCTATTGCTATTTTTTAACATGGTGAAGGAAATTACTGCTAAAGCACCCGGGTAGAAAAAGTATCAGCAAATAGCAGTCAATATTTTAAGTAAATAAACGTTTTAACTGCTATAGCAGTTTTATTTGTATGCGTTGAGCGTTCATCATTCCAATAT